CTGAATGAATCCTCCAGGCAGCGAGCTCTTTCCTATATGGAAAGAGCCTGCCTGCCTTCGCAGCCTGGCTGGCCTGGGCCTGGGCCCAGAAGCTTCCGGTAGGCCCCAGGATGCTGCGCCTCTGGTGCAGCTACTGGGCCTCATTCGGTTGGGCCTCCCAACTGTCTGTGTATGAGGCTGTGAATCTCCCCCAGGGCCTGCACTTTCGGAAAAGCCTAGAAGGCCGTGGAATTTCCTCACTTCTTGGCCTGTGTTTCCTTCAACCAACTGGCGCGACGAAACTGCCTGGACCCCAAATACGAAATTGACAGCCGAGGGCTTCTCGTGATTTGTTAGGCCCACCTTCACTTAGGGCGGGCGCAGATGCAACAGGGGCCCCTTAGGCCTGCGGAGGACCCGGATCCTCGCATTCCCTCCTCCTTTACTTCGATAGTCCTCTGAGAAGTTCTTCCAGAATAGGCTGCTTCCCTTTCAGATTTCTCTCGTAACTTGAGATAATTTGGGGAGAAGTCTTCATTAATTCCTCTCTTGTGAACCACCGGTCTTCTTGAGGATCAATGTGATGTCTGAACCACACTCGGTATTGCATCTGTGGCTTTGGCGGTCGACCCCCTCCTGGAGGTTTGGGTACAGGCATCAGCTTGTGCTCGACGATATCGTCAATGTCCACGTGTCCATCCATGGTTGGTGGCAGCATTGATCTCCTTGAGGGAAACTGATCAGTGACAGCAAAAGGTGCCAACTTGGATGCATGGAAAACAGGGTAAGTACGTAAGTGTGCGGGAATGCGAATCACGTATGACGGTCCATCTGGTTGATCCCCTACAATGTCTAAGATCTCCCAGGGCCCAAAGTACTGTGGCATTAGTTTGCGTGAAATCTCCAACTCTTGACCTAGTTCAGATGATTTTACCCAGACTCGTTCACCTACCTGAAATTTAGACTGTCGTTTGTGCCTGTTCTCAGATGCAATCATGGCATCTTGAGCTTTCTTAATATGCTCTACAGCCTGTTGCAGCATCTGTTCATATTTGACAGCGAACTCTAGGCTGCCAGGTGATGCATTCTGCTATTGTTCAGGTAATAGAAAGTCCAGTGCTGAGCTGGGCTTCCAACCGAGATGTAATTGGTTGGGAGTCATACCGGTAGTGCTATGCACAGCGTTATTGTACAGGCTGGCGACGAGAGGCAACTTCTCGTCCCAGTCATCCTGACTTGGCTTGATGTAATGCCGAAGCAGGTGCTGTACTACACGGTTCATCTGTTCAGCCTGGCCATTTGACTCAGGGTGGTTCCCTGATGTCATTAGGAGCCGGGTGCCCATCTGTTGGGCTGTGCTTTGCCACAGTTCGCTGGTGAATCTCACGTCCCTGTCACTAACTATAGACCCAAGTATCCATAAGGAGCTTGATGATGTGGTCAGTTCTGGCTGTCTCAGGCATACCAATTAGTCTTGCATATTTAGTAAATCTATCCATAATGACAAATATATGCCTTTTTCCACTCTTGCTGGTCACGAGAGTATCCATGAAATCCATGGACACACTGCCCAGGTCCAACAGGAATAGGCAGGAGTTTAATCAATCCCAAAAGTCTTTGCATCCTTGGTTTGTCACGTTGACAAACTTGGCAGGTCTCTACATATTTCTTTGCATCCTGCATCATTGTGGGTCACCAAAACTTTTGTACTAGGTTAGCTGATGTCTTTCTATAGCCAAAATGACCAGTTGCATCATGACATTCCCCTAAAAATAAACTACGCAAAGACTCACTATTAGGAACACACAGTCTTTTATTCCCTGCCTTTTCAAGAAACAGCAACTACCATCGTAAATTCGTCAAAGGTTAACTTCATCCTTCTCTTTGAACTTACGGATGATCTCATACATAACGGAATCTTGCTGATAGGCTTCCACCAAAGATCGAGTTAGATTGTCGGATATGCCAAATTCAGTTACTAGCGCGCCCAGGTAATCTGCCCGACGTGATAGTGCATCAACTACTTTATTGTACTCTCCCTTGATTGGATCAAGTTGATAGTCATACATGTCTATCACTTGAATCCACCGCTTGAGTGTGTCAGAGAGTACATGTTGTGTCTTGATCCAGCGCAAGGTCTCATGGTCAGATCTCAAGTAGAAGAATCTGCCTAGGAGGTAGTGTCTCCAATGGACCAGCGCTCTCTAGAGGGCATAGAGCTCACACTCATATGTGGACTTTGCTAGCTTTTGAGACGGCATCTTCTTACTCATGTACTCGATAGGTCTCAACTTTAGCCCCTCCTTTTGCGCAAGGACCGCGCCTATGCCATATTGGTTGGGGTCTGTGGTCATGACAAATGGCTTATCAGGATCCGAAATTTTAAGAACTTCATAGTCTGTCATAGCATACTTCAGTTTCCTGAAGCTTGCTTCACACTCTTCAGTCAACTCCCAAATGGTGTCAAGTCGAGTTAGATCAGTTAATGGGGAAGCTACAGTACTATAGTTGTTAACAAACGGACGATAGTAGCCCGTCATCCCCAAAAATGATCGGACCTCGGTAACAGTCTGAGGTCTGGGCCAATCCCGTATGGTGCTCACTTTGGCATCGTCCGGCCTCAACCCATCCGCGGAGATTTCATGACCCAAGTACAAGGTCTTGGTGCGACCGAACTCGCATTTCTCCAAGGTTTACCTTGTACTGGTGCTGTCTTAGGAGACCGAGCACTATTTTTAAGTGCTCAGCGTGCTTCTCGACAGTCCTACTAAAGATAAGAATATCGTCGAGGTACACGGCGATAAACTTGTCTAAGTACTCATGAAAAATTTTGTTCATTGCGTGCTGGAATGTTCCAGGTGCATTGCATAGGCCAAAGGGCATCACCACAAACTCATACAGATTGTACCTGGTCTAAAATGCGGTTTTGTGCTGGTCTTCATGTCTAATGGCAATTTGATGGTATCCGGACTTCAGATCTATCTTTGTGAAGTATCGACATCCCTGCACTCTATCCAGTAAATTGTCGATGAGGGGTAGGGCCTCCGCGTTCTTAACAATGATGGCATTGAGGCCCCTATAGTCAATGCACATCCTCAGTGTACCTCCCTTCTTAGGGGCAAATAAGACTGGCGCACCGTAAGGGGAGGTACTAGGCCGAATTCATCCCTTTTCTATGAGCTCCTTGAGGTATAGTCAATGCACATCCTCACTGGCGCACCGTAAGCGGAGCTCATCCAACTCCGCATGAAACATCCTATAGATTCGTCCTCTAGGCACCTTACTACCTGGGACAACCTCTATCGCATGGACAACCCCCCTTTCCACCACGCTTGTGGGCTCCTTAAAAAGATCGGAATATTGCGCAACGACTGATTCTATCTTTGGGGGTGTTTTTACGGCCTCCCCTTATAGAAAGAGGAGGCACACATGTAGTCGCAGTTTTCCACTAGACTGCTAGCTTTAAACTTTTGCAGTCTAACGGTCCTACCATTGGGCAGCTTGTGTATCAACACCTTCCTATCCCAATCAAACTGAGGTTGAGCGACCTCGAGGTAGTACATGCCTAGTAACATATCAAAGGGCAGTTCGTCTCTAACGAGGAATGAGATTTTGTGTCTCACTTCCCCTCCTCCATAAGAGAAGGAACAGACTACGTCCTTGACATAGTCTTTTACTACCATTTGGTGCTTGTTGGCTAGCGTAGAAGCTACAGTTCTGCTAAGCCG